GAAGGAGAAGAAGAAGGAGAAGGAGAAGAAGGAGGAGAAGGAGGAGGAGAAGGAGGAGAAGGAGGTTAAGAAGGAGGAGAAGAGGGAGGAGAAGGAGGAGGAGAAGGAGAAGGAGAAGGACGAGGAGGAGAAGGAGGAGGAGGAGAAGGAGGAGAAGAAGGAGGAGAAGAAGAAGAAGGAGAAGAAGGAGGAGAAGAAGGAGAAGAAGAAGGAGAAGGAGAAGAAGGAGGAGAAGGAGGAGGAGAAGGAGGAGAAGGAGGTTAAGAAGGAGGAGAAGAGGGAGGAGAAGGAGGAGGAGAAGGAGAAGGAGAAGGACGAGGAGGAGAAGGAGGAGGAGGAGAAGGAGGAGAAGAAGGAGGAGAAGAAGAAGAAGGAGAAGAAGGAGGAGAAGAAGGAGAAGAAGAAGGAGAAGGAGAAGAAGGAGGAGAAGGAGGAGGAGAAGGAGGAGAAGGATTTCAATAAAAGTCACAACTTTTCAATAAAAGTCACAACTTTTCAATAAAAGTCACAACTTTTCAATAAAAGTCACAACTTTTCAATAAAAGTCACAACTTTTCAATAAAAGTCACAACTTTTCAATAAAAGTCACAACTTTTCAATAAAAGTCACAACTTTTCAATAAAAGTCACAACTTTTCAATAAAAGTCACAACTTTTCAATAAAAGTCACAACTTTTCAATAAAAGTCACAACTTTTCAATAAAAGTCACAACTTTTCAATAAAAGTCACAACTTTTAATAAAAGTCACAACTTTTCATGAAAGGGGAAGGCTAATTTTGGAAATAATAAATAAATTAAAAGGAAATTCTTGTTTCGAAAAGGTCACAACCTTTCATAAATGTTATAACCTTTCATAAAAGTCGCAACTCTCCATAAAAGTCACAACTTTTCAATAAAAGTCACAACTTTTCATGAAAGGGGAAGGCTAATTTTGGAAATAAATAAATTAAAAGGGAATCCTTGTTTGTGGTGGCGCCACATAGGCGGGCCTAGGGTTCTCTTATATATATATGATTTTAATCTAACAATGGAAGTCATAATAATGACTAGTGCTCACTTCGATATTTTTGTGGCGCATTCGTCGCAAAAAATCTTACTTATTTTTGGTGGCTGCATGAGCCGCCAAAAAAAGTTTGTCACTTAAAATTTCATTTCTTCTTGTGGTTGCTAAAAGTGGAGCTAACTATTGAAAGAGGTTTAATTGAATCTCTTTAGTTGTGATATAACATTGAGTAAATAAGATAAATAGTTTTGTATATATACACATTTTTAAATTCCCTTCATATTTAGGAAACTTTTAGTGTTGTAGTAAGAGTGATTTATCAATTAGTTTATGAATCAATTCAAATTTCAAGTCAAACATTTTTTCTTTGAATTCCCTTGTTAGAACTAATAGAATTTCTAGTTTTGTCACTAATCGAAGTTATGCTATTTTTGTGTGCAGTAGTGACAGTAGATACTACAAAGATTAGATGCAAGTTGATGCTAATTGTTGTTTAGGGAGTTCTAGTTTTGACATTGGATATGGCGAGGTCACGGATTCGGTGCAAATGGTGGTGGAGGCGGCGATAGAGATGGAGGTGGTGGTGGAGGAAGAGGTAGTGATGGAGGATCTGGTTTTGGCATTGGAGTTGGTGAGGGACATGGTTCAGGTGAAAACAACGGTGGTGGTGGTCAAAATGGTAGTAGTGGTTTTGCTGCCGGAGAAGAACGGGGCCATGGTGGTGGTGGCAATTGATCCCACCAGTTGCTTAAATGACTATTTTTCATATGTGTGCTATTTCACCAATGGTTATTATTTAAGCATTTTCCTTGTGCCAACTCTTTTATTATTAGATACATTGTCATAATGTTGACATGATGTAATTTTACTCATGTCTTGACCAATTCAACTATTTATAGTAATGAATATTTTTAATATACCGATGATCAAGAACATCCATGATTCAAATGATAAAAGTATAATTTCAAAATAGGGATCAGGGAGATTGGGGGCTAGGCCTTACCCTAGCCTACAACAATAAAATGGATAACCAATCCATTCATCAATAATAGGATGCACATACAACACACAAGTATACAACGATCCTACACCTAAACACCCACACCTTCAATTCATTGAAAAAAATATTATCCTTTTTATATATTTGACTGACACTAGGTAAAAAATGTTGTTGAAATTAAAAAGTTGTCGAAAAATAAAAAAATGCATTTTTTTAAAAACAGGCTAGTTTTAATCTCCTTCAATTATTTAAAATATAATTACAAAAACTCAAAGAAATAAAAATGAAAAAGTCAGTCAAACAAGAATAACAAAAAATAAATTGTGAGGGCTTCTTGAAAACAGTGTAGACAGTTGCCTAATTTCACATTTATGCACAGTTGTTTTATTTCACATTTATGCCCCCTAACTTTGGGTATACACGAGTAGACACTTAAACTTGTATAAATTTGAACATGTAGATACAAGAGTCCCAAGTGGCATAATATACCTAGGACACAACATAAGTCACACATCGTCATGTAGGATGCCACATAAGACGCGTATGTCTATTTGTTTAACTTTATACAAGTTTAAGTGTCTACTTGTACACACCCAAATTTGAAGGACATAAATGAGGTCAAGTTAAAGGGTATATTGAAAGGAAAAGTCTTTTAGAAGAACTTAATTTCTTCTAATTTTGATGAATCATACAACTCAAAGGTGACATTTTTATCTTTCTAATAAGAAAGAAAGTTCAAAATGTTGCCTAAGTAATCATCATTTTGTTTAGGCATAATACATTAATGTACTCTTTAACATGACTCTATCTGGAATCTCAACCTTCCAACTTTGGGTGTGCACATGTAGGTACTTAAACTTGTATAGAGTTGAACAAGTAGATACACATGTCCTACTTGGCGTTATACATGGAATTCACGTCCAATGTGGTATCCTACATGTATTATACCACGTACATGTGTCTACTTTTTTAGCTTCTTAAAAATTTAAAAGTGTCTACTTGTGCACACCAAAAGTTGGAGGGTATAGATGCAAACTAAAGCCAAGTTAAATGGCATATTTATATATTATACCTTTTATTTATATAGGGATAAGGCACAAGTACCCCCCTAGACTATGATCAAAATCCTAGAGACAGACCTTAAATATACTAAGGTCCTATTACCCCCCTGAACTAATTTTTTTTTGTAATTTTGTAGACCTTTTGGCTTATGTGACACACCCTGTGACTCCACACAATTGAGGCGCTGTAACATCTTGCAAATTGAAATAACTATGACGAAGCTTATAATTGGAAATAGTCATTTTTGGAAAGAATACAAAACTCTGGAAATTTAGTTAAGTTTTGAAAAAAAATGAGTTTTTGGTCAACTTCAAACAGTCATAACTCCTAGCTCAGGATGAGTGAGGTGTATTTCCAGTTATGTTTGGAATGATCTTTCCAACGCCGCCGAGTTTGCTCGATTCCGAGTTCGTATGAGTGAGTTAAGCCCTTTGGAAGTTGGGCTGTTGGCATAAGGAAGTTCAATCCGAAGTTTTAAGGGTAGTTTGGTCTTTTCCCTAACCATTTCTTTTGGTTATATTAAGGGTCTAAGCTGATTTTAAATCAGTTTTCCCTTTTAAAAGTGAGAGTTAGGGTTTGAGAGAGAAGAGAGAAAGAAGAGGAGAAAGTGAAGAAGAAGCAAGGTTCGTCAAGATCGTCGTGGATTTCGTCGGGGGTGATCCCTATTAAGGTATGTGAGA